GAGTTAGTGCCCTTCGAAACAATTTTTTCTAATCAAGTGTGAATGAACAACATATATAGGTAGCTTTTTTTCAAACAGACATGAACAAAAAAAAGGAAAACGAGTGTCAAACGAATGCAACGCCGTTTTAATCTTGATCTATTAAAAGTAATAAAATGAGATCAAAACCATTTACAGATGACATCGAAAAAAAAAAGCTATAGTAGTTAAATATCCGGTTGAAAGAAGATGATGACAACAACAACATAGAATTCCAACATCGATAATTCGCTCTCCATCATGCCTATAATTAGCCAGTCCGCGCATTCTCTTACAAGTCATTTTGTTTTGTTACGTGAACAATCTTTAGTATGTACATATGCACACCATGTCACCACAATTAATCGAATTAATCTACCTTTTTTTTTTCTTCTTCGTCTTCTTTATCGGCATTTAATATAGACTAGCTCTGTGATGATGAGTGAAGTATAGGAAGGTACTCCCACTTGACGGCTAATCTCAAACTTCTTCATGAATAGTATTCAATCATAAGAAAAGAACACGCACACATTTTATGTATCCATTAGAGACAAATCGTGACTAACGTCCATTATCAAACAAATATTGACTCACGTTTAATATTTTTGTTTGTTACAAACAAAAAAAAATTTTTTTTAATTTTTAAAAAAAAAACCTATCAAAATGAGATGTTAACTATGATGTCATTTTTATTCTTGCCGGCATAAATAATATGTCTATATAAGATGATTGATCTATAGGTTGGTTCGATGAGCAAAGACGAATTGAATTTGCCAGAAGGCTTGAAGATGAGTTTGATATCGCGACATACGTTGAATATCTTCAAAAAAAAAAACGAATAAATGCGCGCGGGCTTGTCTACATCTATTGTAAATTAAAACAAGCTCGAACGACTGCTGCCTACCGATTGATAAGCATCATAGGAGGCTAAGCCTCTTTCACACTTCACCATAGGTGGGGAGTTCATGTATATGTGTATTTTAATCTCACGAAAAAGAAGATCGATAAGATTTTTCTTTTTGATCAAAATATGAAATATTTCAAAGCAAAAAACAAAATAAAACGAAAAAGAAATATATCCTACATCTATTTTTCGCATCATTAGCAGTGATATACAGAAAACGTTAAAAAGATTATGATAGATTTGTCAATGTCCTCAATAAGGTAGATGAGGACATGGATCGATTAGCAACAATATCAGCTTGGACATATATATATGTATATATATGGTCAATGTGTATCGAAGAGCGCATCATGCACATGACACACGGTATGATGAATGTTGGTTTAATGACAAGTAACGACGACATTGAATCGTCATCATCAACAACAACAACGAGAAAAAGACAATCAGAGAAAAAAATCCATACACACAGCAGGAATTCTTAATGAGAAATTAACCTTTCTTTTTTTCCATCAGGTATTTTCTCTAATGAACGATGTGAATAATAATTCATTTTCTTTTTTTTTTTTTTGGAAGCAAACAATATTGAATAAATGGTAACTCCATTTTGTTGAACAGAAAAACCAATCTTCCATATGTTGTGAATGTCTTTGATGATTCCTAGACAAATCGATTCGATTTATATTCTTCTTCTTCTTCTTCTTCTTTTTTTTTTGTTCATCAAACCTCTTTCACACAATTATAATTTTGTCGGATAACAAACAGATATTAAGTTTTTGTTCTGAACCAATCATAGTTTATCTTTTCAAATATCCAATGAAATATTTTTTTCTCTCTTTCTTTCGAGGTCAAATAAAATTTTTCTAATAGAACCAATGAAAAAAGAAAAGTTTTCTCTCATTTTTTTTCTTCTTTCGACATTTATCTTCCGGTTCGAGAGAGAGAGAGAAAAAAAAGAAATTACATGTTCATGTGTTATACATCTCATCATTATCAGTTTGTATCCCGGTCGTCAACCTTCTAATTATCGAGAACGTCCTGCATCGAAGTCAGTTGTTTCTGGGTGGAGCTAAACATTAATGTTATATTTTTTTTGAAACAAGAAAAAAAAAGTAAGAGAAAAAAAAAGCGAAGATCTTCATTGTATAACTCGTTGATTACATGACATAAAAAAACGTATAATTTTTTTCCTTTTTTTTTTTTATAGAGACGATTCTATAATTAACTCTTGTTTCTTTTACTTGTTTATGATAAGCTTCGCATATCTTATTTCATGGCAACATTGATGGCAACAAGTAACAACAACTCGGTATGTAAAAACTAAAAGCATCGTTTTCGTCTATTTCATTTTTATTCTGCTTGAATAGAAGCAAAAAAAAAACCGAGGGAAAGAGAGAAAAAAACGAGTGTTTGAATATAACTAAAACGTAGACACCCCGTTGAGTTGAATTCTATGGTCTCAATCAAGCGCATACTACTCAATTACTATTACTTATGCTTTGTTTTTGAACAAAAGAAAACGAATGAATGTATGAGAGATCATGTAACATTCAATATAGATTTCTTTCCTTTTTTTCTTTTTTTCGTACTATATAGGACATGAACATGAGTACTGTCAATCCATTGGCTATGTTAGCTGCACAATGTAATAAAATTCAATCATCCAATACAACGATTATTAATAATAATAATAATACAACATCAACGTCAGCTTTATTACCATCTACAGCAACAACATTTGGTCGACCGAAAAGTCCATCATCATCACCACCAAAAACAAGTTTTTATGCTTGGAAAAAATCTTTAACAACAAGTCCACCAATTTATTATCCAACATCAATGAATAATACAAATCATCATCATCATAATTCAGAAATGGCTTCATCATTGGCACGTATTACTCATTATGAACATTCATTATTAAATAGTAATGGTCATTTAAAAGAAAATACAACAATACCACCGCCGCCACCACCTCCACCACCACCTTCATCATCATCATCACAAACAGCTTGGTTTGATATCCATCATCATCATCATCATTCATGGTTTGCTGCTACTCAAACACCGCCCCTTTTGAATAATAACAATGAACAACAACCACCACCACCTCCACCGCCATCCCTGTTTTCTACAGCAGCTAATGTTCAATATTCACCTCATGGACATCATCATGTTCAACCAACACATTATAATGATTTTCTTTCTGTTGGTCATCAATATGCAGATCCATATCGACATGACTTTCGTTTACTTTATCCATCGGTTGTTTCTGCACCGCCAGCACTGCCACCACCACCATCATCATCATCATCTTTAGCACAATCAACATTATCATTTTCATCTCATACACCATCACCACCATCGGTTCAAGCAACAACATCATCACCAACAACAACAACAAATAATTTGAACAGTTCACAAAAAACTACAATAACAAATAGTTTAACAAGAAATGGGAAACAACCAAAAGCCAGTCGTGCTCAATGTGATTGTCCTAATTGTCGTGAAGCTGATCGTTTAGGTTTTGTTGCTGGAGCTAATTTACGAAAACGAAATATTCATAATTGTCATATACCAGGTTGTGGTAAAGAATATAATAAAACATCACATCTCAAAGCTCATTTACGTTGGCATACAGGTAAATAATACAACAAAAACGAAAAAAAAAAACTCCAAAGAAGAAAAACTAGAGTTTCCATTTTCACACTCAACCTGTAATTATAAACATAGTCATCAACATGTTCTTGTTGCGTGTATTGTGTGAATCAAATTTCATCATATGTGAAATAGCAAAAGGAAAAAAATGTCAATTGACTTCTGACACGCATATTGATAAGAGAGAATAACTTTTGAATATTTCTTATTTTGTTTTATTTTAAAGGAGAACGACCATTTGTTTGTAATTGGTTATTTTGTGGAAAACGATTTACTCGTAGTGATGAACTTCAACGACATTTACGAACTCATACAGGTATGAAATGTATATTCATTATGTTCTGACACCCGATCATTTGCTCATCTTCAGTCCATTAAAAAAAATAAACTACTATTCGATTTATCTTGTCCGCCCACCTTGAAATGACCACTATTGCCAAGGCTAATCGTGAGAGAAATAGGACATATACGCGATAATTAACTTTGAACGAATACCCTATCGACCAAGTCTATTATTTATGTGGAATGAATCATTCATGCGTGATACATATCAACATTGACATATATAACGAGAGAAAAGAAAACGATGATCATAGGTTAGGTTGTGTTCAACAAGAAACATCAATCAATCAGAACAAAAAAAAAGCCTTGTCAACAAGATTGTTTTTCTCATTAAACATTATGTGATAAATAATCTAAACATACACCTTTTTTTTTTTGTTTATCATGATATAGATCATTCATTATTATGTTTAGGTGAAAAACGATTTGCATGTCAAGTTTGTGGAAAACGTTTTATGCGTAGTGATCATCTTAATAAACATGTATGTATTATTTGAATAATTAAAACAAAAAATTATTATGGTTTTTCTTTTTTTTTTTTGATTAAGGTTAAAACACATTCGATAAATATAAATGGTAATATAAATGAAGAACAACGGATGAAAAATCTTGATTCTGATACGGAAGAAACTAATCGAGATCATCATCATCATCCACAGCATCAACGTCTTCCACATCAAACATTACTTAATATGCATCATCAACGATTTATGGTTGCCGATATAAAAACAGAACCGAGAATGACCGATTAAAATGAAGATTCTCGACGACATTTTTTTTTCGCATATTTTTTCTTCTTTTTTTTTTTTGCGCACTTTTTCTCATGATCTTGTATCTGTAGTGAATATATGTGAAATATAAAAACCAATAATAATAATACAAAAAAATGTCAAACTACAGATGCATTTTATGTAAATGCTAGGTTTTTTAATCAAAGTAATGTTCAAGTCTGGTTTTAGTCAACAAGCTGAAAAAAAACAGAACTAATGATTTAAACGTTTTTTTTTAATGCTATTGAAGGGAATAACATATTTAAAAGACATTCAAAAAACAGAAACTCACCATTCTGATTAACAGAATGTATTCTATCAATATATTTTTTCATCTCGTCTTCGTCTTTGGATTTCTTTCAAATTTTTATGTTCAATCATTTTGTAATATACATGATGATGAAATATTGTGTAAACCAACTGAATTTTATCATTATAATTCTTCATCTATCAATAATAATATTATAAGATCAGGTCAAACACTTCATTTAACAAATGCTTATTATTCTGGTATTCTTAATGAAAATATAAATAATCTAATTATTGATGATTATCCATATAAAACATTTCCATTACCATTTATTTCATCATTAACACTTCATAATTTACATATTGAACATACATTTTTAAATGCATTTCCAACATGGTTATGTGCATATAATAAAAATTTATCATTTATTGAAATAAATTATTCACATATTGAAGAAATATTTGAACATGATTTAAATCTTTGTTTAAATTTATGTACATTACGTATATCAAATTCATATTTAAAACAATTTACAAATTCTTATAATATTGAAATATATTTACATTCATTATATCTTAATAATAATAAATTTTTGAAAATATCTAATGAAAATGGTTTAGATTTAAATCAATTTCGTTATTTACGTATTCTTGATTTATCATACAATCAAATACAAACAATTTCATCCGAAAATTTTAATCAAACATTATCATTAACAACACTTGATTTATCATTTAATAATTTAGAATATTTTCAATTAAATAATATAAAATATTTAATATTATTAGAAATACTTGATTTAAGAGGTAATAATTATTTACATATAAATGAAAATTGGTATGATTATTTACCACATTTAATAAAAATTTATTTTCCATATGCACATTTTTGTTGTAATTATAAAAATAATTTAAAAATATTAAATGAAAAACATATTAAAAAAACAAAATTTGATCAAACAATAAATGAATTTATTGATGAAAAAGAAAAACAATATAAAAATGAAAATCAATTAATGTCTGTTTCGTTTCATTCGGATCAAGTTTGTTTTCCATTACCAGATCATATGACACCGTGTGAATCATTATTTTCATCGAAATTTATTCGTTTTATTTTTTTAATGATTGTATTTATTTCTGTTGCTTCGAATTTAACTGCATTGATTATTACTTTATTTCGTTTAATAATATCATCATATAATCGATGGTCAATATCAACTGTACTTAGTTCCAATTTAGCATTGGCTGATTTTATTTCATCAATTTATCTTGTTCTTGTTGGTATAATGGATATACGTTTTAATGAAAATTTTTATATTAAAACTCAATTATGGACTAATTCACATTTATGTACATTAGCTGGATTTATTTATATATTTGGAATTCAGTCATCTATATATGCATTAACTTTATTAACATTTGAACGTTTTTATACAATATTATATTCATTTAAACGTCAAACACCATGGCCACCTAAATTTACTTTAACATTTATTTCATTAGGTTGGTTAATAAGTTTTTTAATTGCATCATTACCATTAATTAATATTAATAATTTTCATGCAAATTCATTATGTGTACCATTTCGTATGGAAACTATATTTGATAGATTATATTTATCTTTATTAATTATATTTGATATTTGTTTTATTGGTATAATTATAACATGTAATGGTCTCATATGTTTTAATTTTAGTAAATCATATGTACATACATTAAATGATGCACGAGCAACATTAAAAATTCTAACATTAGTTATTGCAATTTGTATAAGTCGAATACCATTAATTATATTTATTTTTCTTACTTTAATTATTCATCCAACTTATTCATATAATATTAATAATTATGCTCTTAATTTTACTTATATTAAATTAATTGTACTTTTTTTACAACCATTTAGTTCATGTTTTAATCCATTTATGTATTCATCTTTATCAACATTAAAATGGATACATACAAGAACTGAATTTGAAAGACCAAGATCAATAAAAGGATCATTTGAATTTTCTCGATTTCGATCAACATCAGTTGTTTTTAATTGTGGTTATCATCCATTACGTATGATGTCTATTAGTTCACTTGATTATCGACTTTCATCATCACCAAATACTCCTTAAATTAAATACTTAAATAAACAAAAAAAAAAAGACAACCATGTCAAAATTTCGTTTTTTTTCTTTTTAATCATTCTCTTATGTTTCTAATTATTCATATCTTTGTTGTTTTGTTTGTCTCTACAAAATAAAGAATCATCATCCTACATCAAGCTTTCAATGATTACATTTCGAAAGACTTTAAAGGTACTCTCATGATGATAAACTCGAAATTCGAGAATAAGATTGAATAAATGCAAGTACAGTGTGTACCAAAATTATTCAATAAAGATTTATTTTCAATTTTGTTTCACTGCCGTAAACTTTAAAGGGTTTGTGCGGCTAACGGTTGCCCAGCATTATTGAAGTTGAGAGTTGCAATTCTTATTCTGAGCACAACTAATTGTGTTCAATTCAAATTTTCAAATAGGTTTTTGTACATTCTGCGACGATCTGTCTGGTTTATCTTGAAAGATTTTGAGAAGGAACAGTAGTTGCCAGCTAAAATGAAGCATTTTTGTGCAAAAATCGCTTAAAAATTCACTTTTGTCTCTTATCATATCTCGATCAGTGTCTTGACTCTTATAAAAAATGAAGATGTTACTAGTGATTTTGATGCTAGATCTACAGTTTGGCACGAACAGATCATCTCTTGTTTTTTATGAAGATTGTGAGAATAGCGTTGTTAGTGAGTTCTATAAAGCTGAGTGAGTGCGTTACCTGCGGACAAGCCGTAAAAAGAATTTAAATAGTGATTGGAATAGAAAAAATGATTTTCAACAAGAATATAAAGAAATAAAAATTATTATCAGATTTGCAAAGGTGGTGATCTGAGAAAACCAAAATCCTAGAGTGAGTATATTATAATTTTGTTCGGATCCTATCAAACGATAGAATTAATAGTCCTCTATAATATGAGACATCGCCGAATTTTTTTCAGCGTTTTTTGGCTGAGATACAGCAATTTGATTGGAGGTAAAAAATGGTTCTTCAATAGGAAATCGGAAAAACGACTTTAGGAGCTTTCATAAGACTACTAATAAACGACGTAGAGAACTCGAAGGCATCTCATTTTTAAGAGAATTGTTTGCTCTATCATTCTATGTAGTCTAAGCAAAATTATATTTATCCGATCTAGATACGAAAAAACTGACCTTTTAGTTTTCTGAAGTTTCCATCTTTGAGAACCTGATATCAATTTGTATTTCTTTGGGAAACAATTTTCCCTATTTGAATTCTTTCTAGCGCTTATGGAAGCGGAAAAAAATTGAAAATATACTCTGTTCAATAATCTATATGCATAACAGTCAATGTTCATTTGAGTTGACTTGTAGGTGAATGACGAAGCATCGTACAAAAGAGATAATCTCTGATAATATTAAAAGAGTTGATAAGTGCAATATGTCAATGAACAATAGTAATTCAAAGAGTGCATCTACTGACTATGTCAAAAAATGTCACAGAGAAATTAAGAGTCTGGAATTTAAGCAAATGCTAATATTCTAAATAATATATTAGAGAGTATTTATTTTTTATGAAAAGAATAAAATGAGAAAAATGAATATACAATTGTCTTAGAATAATAAAATAAAAGTTATAATAGCCCTGTAAACACCAGAGTACACAATTCAGTAAGTGTTTTTTTCAGAGTTTCTTAACTGCTGAATAACTCATGAACGCAAGAAAGATGTCAAGGTGCGACAATGTAGTTTTGTCAATTGATGTCAAATACATGTATATGAAAGAGGGAAAAAATGCAAAATAAACTAAATGATTTGAGAATTAGGATGAATGTGAAATATTCTTGACAATATTTAACCGATGAATATTTTCCCTCTATATCTTAATTATTATATTTTTACATGATTATGACGAACATCAATCATAAAAGATATGATAGAATGAACGATCTTTCGTTCTTCACCCCTATCTTCCTTTTAATTTCATTTTATAGATAGAGTAGAGTCAGAATTATATTTTGATAAAAATAAAAAATCTTCATTGCTCTTCAGTCAGAAGTTATAAATATTTTATGATAAATGAAATGAATCGTTTATATTTCACAAAGCATCTTGGAAAAGAGACTTCAATTTGTTGAATGATCTGCGTTCACTCATAACAATGACTATACAAATTTAAAAGTCTTTAGCTATCATGGTCGAGCAATGATACTCAATCGATTAAGTGTTTAACGACTTGATTGAAAAATAAACAAATATAAAATTCTTCAATTTCTATTCACAATAATAATTTGAATTATTAAAAATCAAAATCATGGTAGAGCTATTTGTATAATTACCAACAAAAGCAATCTTCTATTTAATGAGAACATTCAATTCTCTCGAAGTTCACATTTATCGGAACAAAATCAACCGTTATTTTTCTTAGTTCTTCCTATCGAACAACAATAATATTGTTGCAGTTTTTATTGTATTTTTAATTCAATATTAAACTATTCTTCTTTTCTTTTGTAATAAATGAATATCAAGTTATTTGAATTTCTATACATATAGCACTTATTTATTCTTCTGTGGATTATATTTAGAAATAGTAACGAATAAAATATAAGACAAAAAAAAGTCATTTCATTTTTGTTCTTAATAAAATGGAGCAATACGACCAAGTGATAAAAATTCTTCGCGTGATTTTGGATCTTCACGAAAAACACCAAGCATTGCTGATGTTGTTGTACGTGAATTTACTTTTTCAGCACCTCGCATAACCATACACATATGACTAAAGAAATAAAAAAAACAAACAATGCATGATTTTCTTTTTTTGTTTAGATACCTACATGCATTCAATAACAACAGCCACACCTCTCGGTTGAATAGCTTCAGCAATAGCTTCTGCGATTTGTCGTGTTAAACGTTCTTGTACTATAATATAAATGATATTCAACAAAAAACAAATAGATTGTTTTTTATATACTTCTTACAAACCTTGTAAACGTCGACTAAATACTTCGACAATTCTAATAAAAAATTTAAATTTGTATACGAAAATAAATATTTTTCAATACCTTGCTACTTTACTTAAGCCAAGTACTCGTTTATTAGGTAAATAACCAACAGATACTTTACCGAAAAAAGGTACCCTAAAAATAAAAAGAGTAAGCCTTGCATTTGACTAAATAAAATTTTAAATCATACATATGATGTTCACATAATGAATAAATGTCAATTCCTTTTACGACAACCATATTTTCACATTCTTCATCAAATATAGCATCACTAACAACATCTCGAATTGATTGTTCATAACCTTTTGTAAAAAAAACCAATGCCTATAGAAACCAAAAGAAAGTTTTTATTAATTGATGAAATATTTCCGAAGAAAATTAATCAATTAAATTATTGTTGATTATTACAAATCAACTAATTGAAATTTCAGTTTTCTTTACTTTCATCGATTTACTTAAAAGTAAAATCCATCGGGTGAGTGCTGGATCCAGTTCCGAAAATTTTGGACTCAACGGATTCTACTTATCAGGAAGTATTTCTAAGCATCAAATTACTTTTGAATCGAGACTATGTACATCATGTAGGTTCTAATGAGCTATGATTATCCTGAAAAGAGTTCGAGCTAATAGCTGATTACAGCCGAGATACTGTTGTCCCCTTAGGAACACTAGGAAAGCTGGGTTTCGAATTCCGACTTGAAACTTTACGCAAAGACAGGTCTTAACGAGAGTAGTTTATTTTGAAAGTTTCATATCTTTTCATTGTTTCTATCCTAAGACATGGTTATAGTAAAAGCATGTTTTTTCATGCTGCTCATATACAACGGCAAATTTCGATGTTCTTATTTCAAAATAGGTGCAATCACAAAATCTGGAAACTTTTATAATACGCTATTTTCGTTAAGACCTGTCTTTGCGTAAAGTTTCAAGTCGGAATTTGAAACTCAGTTTTCCTCGTGTTTCTGAGGGAGGGCCACGGCATTCTGATAAAAACTATAATATCTCGTCACTAATGAGCTATTAGCGCGAACTCTTTTCAGGATATTCATAGCTTGCTAGAACCTACGTGATGTACATAATCCCGACTCAAAAGTGATTTGCCACTTAGAAATGTTTCCTCATTAGTTTGTAGAATTCAAATTTTGTAATGATTAGGAACACATATTTTGTATGAATAAAAATATGTATAGAAGTTAATGTTTCTACTAAAAACAAAATTGTTATTATTTCCGAGAGAGGAAAATAAATCGACCGTTTATCCTTAAAAAAATATTAACAATAGCTTTACGTTTGATTACTTATTCACAATTATAACAGACATTTTTATTATTATATAAATGTAAAGAGATTGAATAAACTAATTTGAATATGCACAGTAAGATCTCTCAAAAGAAAATGAAATCTACGTACTTCAGCAGCACGTTTTGGTGTTTTAAGAAGTCCTATGAAAAATGAAAAGTTGAAATTCTAATGCATCTAACCGAAAAAATTTTACCCTGTCGTGATGGATCTTCTCCAATACTCTCTAAAATCACTTCATAATTTTGGCTTATTGTTTGAATACGCTGATCACGTATGAATGTTGTATCATCTTTACGTAATGCGTTTTCATCAAGTACACTGTTTTGCCGATTTGCATATGCATTTCGACCATTATCACCATTTTCATTTATTGGTACTGGAGCTGGTTTAATTAGATGTATCATTGAATTTGTTGCATCGTCTAAAGATTAAAATCAAAATTAAAAAAAAATCGAATGATATGTTTTATATATGTATAAAAACTAGAATTTTTTACGTGATAATTCTTGATAACATTTCCGTGTTGTTACTGATTTAGATAAAGAAGGTGAAAAAAACAAATAATCTTTGGTAGTTGGAAAATCAATAAATATATCGTCGTTTGACTGTAATGTCATTTAGTTCATAGATATTTGGCTGAACTATTATAGTCTGCTGTTACTTTTCTAACGATCTCATTTATCACAGTTGCTTTTCATTCTCTATTTTCTTTGACATTTTTGTTTTATTCTTTTTTGTTTTCTCTCTCTCTCTCCCTGTCGATTTTGTTTCCTTCAATGATTTTCCTTAGAACAATAAAAACGGAAACCGTGATGATAATAAGATAAATTGAAAACTGTCAGTAGACGATGCCAACAAGCCTTATAGTGACTGTTAAAACATTAAAATTTATGTTCTCTCTTCTCCCCTTTTTCTTTTGTTTATCAATAGACAAGTATATGAAAATAATCGTCATACACAATGAAAAATCATAATCATTTTAATAAAACATAGCATACCAGAATCAATACCTTCATTGGAATACATTGTACTATTAGTGTGGACAATGCTATGGTATTTTTTTTCAATAAAAATAATAATAATAATACGTTAAACTTTCAATTTTATTCTTTAATGATAGGCATAAAAGACAGGGCAACAGAGAGTGCCAGCTGATGCCATATTGACGAAGAAATAAGTATAGCTCACATGACTATCTACCTCACTTATCTATTTAATGAGAATGGACTAGATTTTTTGTTTTTTTGCTTTTACAAATGGTATATCTAATAAACATTGATTATTCGATCTTTATATTGTTTTGTTATTGTTCAATCATACGTTCTTCTTTTTCTTCTGTTAATTCCATTTGATTTCATCATTTGAAAGGTTTTAGTATTCTTGTCCTTATTTTCTTTTTTTTTCTGCTTTTGTTGAAATGTTATATAATTTCTTTCTTTCATTTTGTTCTTTCAGAATTCTCATTTATTACTTTTTTTTGCTTTTACTTAGTTTCTACATCAATTCTATTGTTCGTATATTCGTCCAGAATATTAAAAGAAAAAAGATGACAACATCGAACAAAGCAACTGATCAGTACAATGATAAAAGATCTTATGTTGCTAAAGATCTTATCTGGTAATTTGATTCAATCATATTCATTTATTATTTATATATTCACATTGAAATTTTTCTATAGGAAAGATCATATATCAAAAATTGAAACAGCACAAAGATTTTATGATAAACGATGGGGTTTTCTTAATGAAACACAACCTCCAGTATGTGTTCCTTTTTTTGTTTTGCTTTTTTGACATTTCTCTTAATTAATTATCAATTGAATATTTTATAGACTTTGTCATACAATCCCAAACAATCATCAGGAAGTTTACTTTCAAATGTTCGTTCTCCTGTAACAGTCAATGATACATCACATCATGAAGATGTAAAAGTTAGTCCATCTCCAAGACCAATTCCATCAACAACAAATAAATTAATTGGTTGGCGAACAGCAGATAAAAATTGTATTTTAGAAAAATATGGCAAATATGCTCGTGGACAAGAATCCTTACATAAAAAATTCAAATGGCCTGTAGAAGGCTTTGATTAAATAAAACAATATTTCTCTATATATGAAATATAACGTTATCAATTATTAAATTTTTAATTTTTTTTTTTATATTTTATTTTTTATTGAGTAGAAGCCTAAATAAAAACAAGCAACAACAACATAAAAGAACAATCCTACAAAAACAAAATTCATTTTTTTTCCTTCTCTTCTATTCCAATTTATCGAAGAATTATTATGAATACATCATCATTTTTTTTTTCTTTTTTTTCTCTCTTATACTACGCCATTACTTGTTCCTGGTGATGTTGCCGCTCCCTATATTCTTTTCCCTATTCTACATATGTAAGTGGATTCGATACCCATGTCACCCAACAAAACAAGCAGATCCAAGGATAGACAAAAAAAGAAAAAAAAAAAAGAAAGTCTTTTTGAATCGAATAATAATAACATCATTGTCGGCAACATTGTAACGGATGACGTAGATTCGAAGGCAGACAGAAAAAGAGAAGTAAAAGATGAATTGAAGCGCGGCAAAAGGATTTTATCACTATCAAATATGTTTCACACAATTTATTTCTCTCTCGTTCGATCTGATCGACCGGAAGCTTCCCAAAGAAATCATTCCGTTGGCAATTTAAACGTGCTTCTTTTTTCTTTTCTAGAAGACTATACATTAACTATAACACAAAGACTAAGAAAATCGACGATAAATCATATTGATTATTTTTATGAGCGATCGAGGTGTGCCAAAATTTCTGTTTTAATTTTTCTTTAGATAAATTAATTTATTCATCAAATAAACTCGTAAGTTGATTAAATAGTATATAGACTAAAGAATAAGAATAAAGAAGATTTACAAACGTACGAAACAAATTTACAAACTGACATATGTCAATCATAGCTTTTGGGTTCCTTCGTCTCTTTATTATTTTTTTTCAAGATGGTTTCATTTTGTTTTTATTGAAAGCATATATTGCCCTCGATTAACCTTTCTCTTGTTGAAAACTTTTTTTTCTTCTAAATTTAGTATTCAATTGTAAACGACTTAAAAATTGATTTTTTTTTTCTCATTATTGTCTAGGGATATTTTTCAGCAAGAATATCTGTGCAAAAAAAAAAAAAAAAGATCTCAATGCTTGTTTTCTTTTTCTTATATTTCCATTAGATCGATGCGTCTTCATATATTCTTGTC